TAATACACTCAAACCACTTGAAAGACAAAGCATATTTCTATGCTTTTACGAAGAATTTTACTTAAGTAGACATATTTGCATTCTTCATGGAGTATTTCAATGTCAGACTTCCAGTATGCTCACTGCGTCCTGTTCGGTGATGTAAAACTGGCCTGTATGGCTTAAACCAAGTGCCTCAAAATTCCATCCGACTGATTAATTAGAGGCAGAATAACACTTCAACTTTCAAAGTTAGTTGAATAGTTTTTAAGAAGCCAAAAAACTTTTTCACAGTTTTTTTGCCCCAGTCCATGATTCTCCCCACCAAAGCCATCAATCACTAGAGAGGCAGGTTCAATCCTGCCTTCGGGCAGGCAAGTTAAAGCCTGAATTTATGCTCCAACTCGCTTTTCCGTCTAACCAGCCTTTTCCTCATGTTATCTTTTTTCCTGTGAATAATCTCTGTAAATGCGACGATTTTGCGATGCTAATGGTTGGGATGGTGGTGGCGGGTGATCTCCCTCCCAACCCTGTGAGCACAACACAAGAGAGGAACGTTTTTTTCTTTCTTTCAAGCCAAAGCAATTGGTATTGCATGTTGCCTGAAATTTGCCTAATCCTTGGAGTGTGAATCACCGCGTTACACACACACGCACAAGAAGTGGGCGAAATTAGAGCGTCGTCATAATTTACATTGAAACATCATTTTTCAACTCGCCCAACTGGAATCCTCTCCTCCTGACTCACACTCTTTTCAGTCAGTCTAATCTCTTGGTTTAAGCGTTTCGCCAAATGGTAGAGTTGAAGGTGATCTTGTGAAACAAGCTTTTTTAATGGCAGAGACGCTATTGAGAAAAGGAGGACCATGAGACCAGTCGATCAAGTACTGTCAGGACTGAGAATAACTGTTTACCCATCCCAAACCGCTTTCATTTCCCCTTTCCCTCCGACATTGTGCCTCTTCTTCTTTGTTTATGCCATTTCTTGGGGCAACAGATGAAACGACTTATTAATCACATTTGAATGTCTTGCATATTTTGTGGTTGATTAATTTCCTTTCACTTTGTGGCCACTACACATCTTTTCTGTCAAATGTTTGAGCTTCAGTTGACCCAAATCCAGACGCCTTCCGTTCTTACTCATTTAGCATGACCCTTCAAATGCTGTGACAGTATCTATCTGACTGGTGTCATCTTTTGAGTTGAGTTTCCCACTTGTTCACTACCGCAGTATCTGAGTCATTACTGAAAGTATGATGGGCAAGTCTAGACAGTCTATTAAAAGCCTTGTTTTCTCCTTGTAGACATAGCTTACTCCAGACACCGCAACAACAACAACAACAACAGCAACAACGCACAGATGTAGTAGACGATGATGGAAGTTCTTCAGCGGGTTCCAGTAGCTCCACCTCGACCTCGTCTTCTTCCTCCTCCTGCTCCTCCACTACGAGACAGGCACCTCCTCCGCCTCCACAAACACATCCGGTCGACACGTTGGCTCCGTCGGTTCACTCTGGTTAGTTGCCTTCACCATCAAGAAACAGTCGTGTTAAAACAGAAGTGCCTGTGTGGGAACATTTAGATGTTGGAGATGCGACAATTGAGCGTTCGGATGATATACGGCCTTTCACGGTCGGATGACATTTTTCCATCAGTTTGTTTGGGTGGTTGGAAATACCATCAGCTCTCCACGAAAGTCTGATAAGGTGTACGTACTGACGCGCTGCTTTTTCATAAAAGTTTATTCAACTTTTCTTTAGAAGGCCATTTATGTGACCTGCAACACTGAGTGAGTTTATTGCACGTACAAAGTGGTGCACAAGAGAGGATGATTTTTGTCAAGCCTAGTGAAAGGTCAAACAACTTCTGAACTCACCAAAATCTGTTGAAACTGTAAGGCGAATTTCCTGGTTCCGGGTTTGTAATGGTAAATCTTGGATTTTAGACATGCCTTCAAACTACCACTCAAACATGGCATCTATGAACCGCTTCCATGGTGGATCCATGCTAGGCGGCATCCAAGTGTTAATTGAAGAGGATGTAGCAAAGAATCTTTGATTTCCCTCCCAGCGTGCCCTCTCTTATTTCCACCCGTTAAATAAACTCTTGAAAAGTGCCATCTACTCAACTGCCACCAGGTTGGAGGAAATTTCGTGCTCTTCTTCTTCCCAAACCAGCTTTGCCGTCCTTAGTGTAACAGTAGTTGGCATGTTCAGCATGTTTTGTGTGTCTGTTTGTTCGTCTCCGTCTGTCCGTCTTGAACGTCTCTTTATGTCCCTTCTTTCCTGTTCTGTTGCATGTCTTGCTCGCGCGCGTGTGCCCGCTCGTCCATCTTCCGGTGTCTAGTAATCGCCACTCCCTGCTCCTGTCTGAATCTGCGACGTAGACGACGGAATCCCAAAGAGTCACAGCCTACTTCTCAACCACCACCGCTCTCCGAGCATCCCTCTTCCACCGTCTCCAACCGTTTTGCCGACTTTTCAGGCTGTGGTAACGAGAACTCCGTGTCATCACCAACGTCGTTAGCTGCAGTGGGAGTGGCAGGTGTTGTTGTTCAAGGTACCGTGAAGTGGCCGTTCCTCTTCCCTTCCCTCTGTCTCAAATCCTCCTCCTTTTGAATTGGCCTTCGCATGTTTTCCTTCTCCCTTGACACATTCATCCTCAGTGTCACACACATACCTGCACATGTGACATGCATTATTTGCCTGGTTGTGATGACTGAGCGCACCAAATCGCATCTCAAATAGGTTGGTTAAATGCAAAACCACACAAGTACTGCATTTGAACAATGAGGCGCCAAGGTTGTGGTTGCATCAATCTGTCGACTTCTCTGCCACTGGATTTTGGCATTATTTACTGCTCTAAGCCCTTCAATGCTGACTGAGGACGAAGGTATCCATCAAAATGAACAGTACAAATTATGGGTTAAAGTAATCTGAGTCTTGGACACTTGTTCTCACGAATTTTTTGTTTGTCCAGTAAACGGTATTGTGTTTCAGTGGAAGGCAGTACGTTGTTAGTCTCTGAATGGGGCTAACACAGACATCATTGCTGAAGTCAGAATTACTCCAATTTATCAAAATTCATTTGCATGCTATTGCCCCGAGGTGACGGTTTTGCCTTAAACACGGTGTGATCGGAAGTATGATTTGTCCAAATAAACGCCGAATTTAATCTGTCGGATAACTACTCACGGAACTTGAGGCTCACGATTACACAAATGTCGACTCATTGTAGTTAAACTGGTGTTTTTCTCTTACAGATGCACGCAGTGGAATGCTTCTTGGAGGTGGACCAAATGCCATTCTTACCTCACCGGTAGCATCTGGAGCTGGTGTTCGGGGGCCCGTTCCGCCTCCTCCGCCTCCTCCTCCTCCCTCTGCGCCTCCCATACAACCGCAAGCATCTGCAGCTGCCACCGGTTCTAGCAGTGATCACAGCCAGCACTCCCAACGCATGAGCTAATCTCTGGTTGTCTTGCTCTCCCCCACTTTTTGGTATGATGACATTTTGAGATTAAATGCTTAGGCCGGTGTGATTCTGAGGGAGTAATAAGGCAGCTAAGTTTGACCGGGTTTACTATGGAATTGCAGAAGGATTGCACCCTTGGAGAGTGGTCTATAGAGGGAAGTTGTTTAGTGTTTGATTAGAGTCTTCAAGTTGTTTTATCCTTATGCGTTGCAGTACAATCATTCACACGGTGTCGGATTCTTCCACCCATAGTTTCAAATGGTTCAGGTATTTTTACTCTTTCTTTTTTAGCTTTGAGTCTCTCATCACCGTGCTCGGTGTTTAATTCTTAGTCCAGCCTTTCACCCATCTCTTTCAATCACAAGGCCATTTTACACGAAAACAATGTAAATTATTTCTCTCTCCCCTCATATCCCATTGTACAGCATTCATACATACACACATACACACACATCTTTCTCAGCTGACTTGATTCTTGCATCCACCACTAACCGACCTCCAAAAATGCATTTCTGTGCTTTGGGTCGCCTGTTTTCCCCTTCCCATGTTGCGTTTTCTTTTTTTATCAGCCATGGCGTTGTACTTGGCCAAAATCTTTGCCTAGTAGTTGTAGCAGACGAAGTCTGGACAAGTGACTTTAACGCCCTGGCTACCGCGCAGGCAACCGTAGGTCCTGTGAGTCACCTTGCCCAGGCGCGACACCTGGACATTAAGTCCGGAACGCAGTATTAGATCCGATGCCTCGGACATTGGGGAGTGGGAGGGGAGGGGGCTGGCGCTCCTGACGGCCTGAATGTAGTTACCACGACCGGTGAGGTGGGGAGAAGCTCTAGAGAGGTGTACACCAGTGTCTACCAACAAGTGAATAGTGTAATTTTCAAAATCTGCGCAATTGTGAGGTGTTACTTGGATTACCGACCTCTTTTGAGTGGCTCTAGTGTGTCTGAATGAATCATTGAGGCGCCATGAAGGCGGCCTTGCTAATTCGGCTATTTGCAAGCGCAAATGATGAGTGTTTGAGGGAAGATTCGTAGTGTTTAGTTCCAAGTGAAGGACTGTTTCTGTCAACCGAGTTTGTCCACTTTACATCGCATCCATTTGGCTGGTTGTGCTTGTTTATAGTGTCGGGACCAGAAACCACTGATTGAGTATCAGGCATTAATTGTGGGGAATGTGGAGCCTCGACCCCTTGCGAACTTGCTTCAAATTTATCTTCATCCTTGCGCTTCTATTACTACTGAATTAACTACTAGTCTAATGCGATTGAGAATGCGCAGCTCTAACTTTTTTCGGTGACGAGCTGGTTGTTCTATGCTAAAGTTGGTCTTTCTTGCTCTACCGTGACATCAAGGAGTCAAGCAGACTTTTGCAGTTGCTTTAAAGTCAAGCAGACTGTTGGAGACATTCTCTAGACGTCGGCCCAGGCGCGGAAACCGCAGCATCATGAATGGGGTAACCGTTGCCGTAGAATCTCAACACCCAGTTAGACAGGGCATGTGAGGAGAAGGAATTAAGACAACTTTGCATGCTGTAAAGTCATCTCCGTTATAGACTTCATATTTCAATTGCCTTGCCTGAATACGTTTTGCGATGGCATTGTCACTAGATGGTCCATCTTATCCTACCGCATAGACCAAGAAATTTAAGTCTAAAATGGGCTTGGCAGAACCAAGGGACACAACTGTATGATATGGCACAAACTAAAGGTTCTAGGTAATTATATACCATTAAAGCGCAGAGAGCATATGATATTGGGAAAATTAAGGTCTAGGAATAGAGATAGGATCGGTCCTTTTGCTTTCCTCCCAAAGGGATGGGATGTCCTGTGTTTCCAAAACGGAAGCGTTAAGACTCGAAAGTTTTGAACCTGTGAGAACCGTTAAAATAATTCAAACTCTACTTTTCACCATACCTGAATAGATTGTCATAGCATCAGTAAAAGGTCGGAGTGCCACAGTCTATCACAGATCGTTTATACTCAATGCGGAAACAAAATAGAACTTGAAGAAAGCATGTATTCCATGAAATTCCACCGTAAAAACAACCGCAGTGGCAACTAAGAGCGCATCGCACTAAGCATTCTAAGTTTGGCAGACCTGCAAAATAAGAGAAGGAATTTATACGATCGTTCAAAAGTGGTGTTGGTATGCTATCAAACTGCTGACGGATGGCAACGAGCGAAGCTTATCAACAAACGGTGAATATGTTAAGTGACTACAAAATGCAACACTATAGTAAATATAGAATACTCAGGAAAAGAATAGATGTCGAGATCGGAAAGAACTCACTTTTAATTTCCAGCAAACAAAGTTCAATCTATAATGTTTTAATTAAGTGTTCCCGTCATTATCCGCTCAGACAATCCTCCGCATGTTTGCCGATTTCTTTGACATTTGCTCTGATTAGTATGCATTGGCTAGCCTTTGGGCTAAAGTTAAGTCAGTCCCTTTCATTTTCTTCTTGAATGCATGAATTTAGCCCTAACTTAATGCGGTTTTCCAATTATTGAGAAGTCTTGAGACTCTACAAACCTTAAGTAATAATAAAACTTGTATGTTGGAAAGTGCAGTGGGATTGCCGACCACCGCTGCATTAATGCGCATTAGTGAAAAATCACCCAAATCTGAATTTATTATAAGGCATTATTAAGACGTTAAGAGGATGCGATGTGACATAATTGCAGATTATAACCAAATGTCTGTGGTCGAAAACACCATCATAAGGCTTTGAAACGGTATTTCAAATTCTCTACAAGTGTTAAGTAACATATTTGCGGAACCCAAATTTTGTCAAAATCGCGCCGTATTTTTGCCTTTTTCAAACTGTGAAAATAAATCTTGCAATAGTATGCAATTTTGAGCGCATCTACTTTGTTTAATTTTTTGAGAAATTATGCATTCTTATAGTTATTAGAATCGCTGAAATTTATGACCTTGAAACGTTTGATTTTGATGGTTACCTCCTTTAAAGCTATTGGATGGAAAAGCCATCCAAACTGTTTATTGGTTCGAAATAATGACCTTAGCTTTACTTTATATGGAGGCAATTTGAGTCTGTGTTCTCATGCGGTGACTCACGCATTGTGTAAATTGTCATGAGGTTTTGGCGAACGAAATTTTTTTTTCTCGTATTCTCAGTTCATACATGGGTGGCCAGTGGATTGGCGGAAGACGAACATGGCAAATGTCCTTCTACAGCTAACATAAGCTGCAAAGATGGGTTACTAGTGCCAGTCTGGAGACCAAAGGACAACATCAGTGTTGCTCAAATAGCAGGTCGTGCCATTGTGTACTTCCTTTCGTTAATGTATTGCTTTCTTGGTGTTTCCATTATCGCCGATCGATTCATGGCTGCGATCGAAGTGATCACTAGTCAAGAAAAAGAAGTTCGAGTGAAATCAAAGTCAGGAGAAATTCAAGTTATATCTGTACGCATTTGGAACGAAACGGTTTCTAATTTAACACTAATGGCTCTTGGATCATCTGCGCCCGAAATTTTGCTTTCTATTATCGAAATATGTGGAACAAACTTTGAAGCTGGGGAGCTTGGCCCCGGCACAATAGTTGGATCTGCGGCTTTTAACTTATTTGTCATCATTGGCATTTGTATTGCTGTCATACCCAATGGGGAGACACGCAGAATTAAGCACTTTGGTGTCTTTGTTGTGACGTCGATATGGAGTGTATTCGCCTATCTCTGGTTATATTTTATCATCTCAGTGACATCAAAGGGAGTCGTGGAATTCTGGGAGGCATTTCTCACCTTTCTTTTTTTCCCTATAACAGTCCTTACATCATACATAGCAGATATTAAGCTTTTTCAAAGGAAGTTCTTGAAAAAGAGGTATAAGGCTAGACGGAAGGCAAAATATATGGTAAAAAATGCTGCTGATGTTGAGGCAAATGGAAAATTTTCGGAATCTGAAGTAGTTTCAGAAAGCAGTGAAGGTTCACTCGAAGAGGAATATGAAAAAACTCGTCTTGAATACATTGAAACCATCAAAGAAATCCGCAAGAAAAATCCCCATATCGATCCTAAGGAGCTGGAAGAGCTAGCACAGGTTGAAGTTTTAAACAGGGGTCCCAAATCGCGAGCCTTTTATCGCATTCAAGCAACTCGACAATTGACTGGCAGCGGTAATGTAATAACAAGATCGAAACTTGAACGCAAACTCTCGATCCAACAGACTGAAATTACGGAAATGTATGCACCGGACGTTCAGCAACTTTACTTCAATCCTGGCCACTACACAGTGATGGAGAATGTTGGAAGCTTCCAAGTCACAATTTCTCGCAAGGGCGGTGATCTTAGAGATGAAGTGGCAATCGATTATGCCACTGAGGACGGTACTGCAGTCGCTAATGAAGACTATGAGCCGACTAATGGAACGCTTGTTTTTCGTCCTAATGAACAGCACAAACAAATATCTATAACCATCATTGATGATGATATCTTTGAAGAGGATGAACATTTCAATGTTCGGATTAGTAATCTTCGTGTGATTCAAAATTATGGGCTCACTTCCGACTGGAAGATTGTGGATCCAGCTGTTGCTACTGTCATGGTGTTGGACGACGATCACTCAGGCATTTTCCATTTCGCTTCCGAGTCGGTTGAGATCAGTGAATCTTGCGAAGTTGCCGAATTCACCGTTATTCGCAGTTCAGGTAAACGTTTGGACTTATTTTAATGCGCTTTCATCCACACAACCTCTGTAAATCTACTGTTTCTACCTAATTTAGGTGCTCGTGGTTGTGTGCATGTTCCATTCAAAACAGTGGATGGCACTGCCAAGGGAAACGGCAAGGACTACTCAGACGTTTCTGGTTTCGTCGAATTTTTGGATGATCAGACCGAGTACGTCATCCACCTTATCTGTTATGCGAAGATAGTTAATGCAACTTATTTACTAAAGTGTGAATTTCTCTTTCTACTATGAGGTTTTGTGATTAGTCAGACGGCAACCTACTTTATGTTCATCGAATTTCTCAACAGTGGGAGCGTTTAGATTCAGTGATCCAATTCAGCAACTATCAAATCCAGTGGTTACTCAAATCTATGCATTTTTCGTTGTTCATAAATAGCACGATTTTGGCAAGGTGTGTCTCAATTGCGATGAAGTCATACTGATTTCGATTCGACTAGCACACTTGCATGCCTGGAGAGAAGCAAAGTGCTCATGAACCAGCAGCAGTATGCGAGTTGAGGTGTTTTGCATTCACCCTTCCGATGAAAGAGTGATGCAGTGAAGAGAAGGTTAAGTTTGGCGTCTTGAGAAACCATCAGTAGTGGTTTGTACGTAAGCACTGGTCCACACACAAATATGCATGCAAATCAACTCTCATGTGTCACTTTGCTCGGAACATGTTTAATTCTTGTTGTCATCCGACACCGTTGTGCATCTTTGCTTGAATCTTTGATGTGTCTTGAAGTGTGGACATCAAAAGCCTGGTGTTGTAAAACATATTTTTATTCATCCGGAAAGCCTGACCACTTTCGCTCTAATAGTACGCTATGGACTTCCGCTGTGTCGATTGGGCTATTACAGGCGGTTGGGATGGTAATAACAGCTTCACTGTCGTATTTTATGCTTTTTTTTACACACTCTGTCCGTGGTGGAATGGATTTGCTTACTTGTAGACCTAGACAAGTTGTTCATATGTGTAGACGAGTGTTCGGTCATTTCACCGTTCCTTATGACAAGCAGGCAGTGCAATTTCCTCATCCATTCTCGTTATTTGATGCTTACTTTAGTGATTGGGTGTAGTTAGGGCGGTTGTCATTTCTGGCACACCACAGCTACCATCTTGTGCGGTGTTCCGTCTCGTTTTTGATGTGAAACCTGTGCGGCGTAATGAAGATGCTGTAAAATTTTCGCACCCTATTTTTAGGAAATGCTACTGAGGCAAACATCGTCTAGCAAAGCACTACACACAATACGCCAGTCACTGTGTAACGCGGTCACTTTTGACGGCAAATATTTCATCCGCAGCACATCCATTTCATTTTCATTTCAAAGGCACAAAGTTTTTACACATTCCCATTCTAAGTGTGAACAAAGGATGTAACGCTTGTTGAATGTAGGGGACATGCAGATTACTGATGCAGCCATCGAAGTGGGGAATTGTACACATTCCAAATTTGAAGCGATGTTGTTGTCATCTTTTAACAGACTCATGTAATAACCAAGAGTTACCATGGCTCATTGTTTTATCCCCTCAATGCATGCCTCGTTTGAGGCGTCTGGAGACTCATGCAGAAGCCTCTTTGCTACTCTAGGGGTGGGCAAATAACGACTCCTCGCATGGCGCTGCACATCACTAACACCCCTTCCCCCTTTCCCCTCCTTCCAAAAAATTGCCGCTATGTCAAACATTTTCACCATTTGCGTTCTACTCCTATCCCCGTTGCAAGTCACGTTTGCAGCCGAAAACTTGTCGCCGTGCCTAATTTGCACTGTGACGCATCCCACTTTGGGGAACGCATTTGATGCTTCCCCTCGTCCCCTTCTGCAGCTTCCGTAGCCGAGAGAAGTGGGAATACGTTTTTAGGCGCCTTGATTGCAATAACTTTTTCACCTCATCTAGGAGTTTGTTGGAACTGTGAAGGGGAACATTGCAATTGGAGACTTTAGAAATTGTATCCGCGAAATTTCGTCTTTAAAGTTATTGATAAGTGAATTATTTAAATGTTTTCAATTGGTTGAAGTGGTGCAACAGGCACTTCCAAAAGGAATATACTTGCAGCTCTTGACCACAAGAGAGTGGTCCATTGGCACTCAAAATGTGTGTAGAAGATGTTTTAGGAGTCTACAACTGCTGTCGAAAACCTCAAACTCGCCATGAACGGAGAAAGCTTGCTCGTGGACTTGAAGTATTCTTCATTTCTCCATTACAGAGCTGTCATTCGCGTCCCAATTGTGGATGATAATGACTACGAGAAGAACGAATACTTCTTCATTGAGCTTGGACAGCCAACAATCGTCGAGAGGGAAGGTGAGTGGACGCACTTGGAGGTAAAAACAATTTTGTGTGCTCTCAACTGAAACAAAATTGAATCCCAGTTATCTACTTGTCTGCTCCTTTATCCCGTCACTCCAGCGACGTGTTCCAATGTGTAAAGTCGGTCTCACTTACCTTTGACCGACTGTAACAAGCGTCTTATTGACACTCCTTGGTGTTTGAGTGGGCAGAAAATGCTCTCCTCTTCATTTAAGGTGCAGATAGGGATTGTATGCGCTCTCTCACGCAGTGAAATTACCTTCCTCTTTTCTCACTTGTCCTTCCCTCTTTAGTTCCTTTCAAACATGCTAATTAGTGCTCCTTCAACAATCTTGATGACCTTAAATGATCACATGGTTTGTGAGTCTTAATGACTCTTCAAGCTTCACCCCACAACTTATGGCTCGAATACAGAGGGTGCTGCTCTCAAAACTTCCACCTTCTCTCCTTTGTCCACCTCTCTTTTCGTAGTATCCGGTTTTGTTTTTGAACGATGAAAGTCCTTTTCTTTTCTCTGCGTTGTTGCATGTACGAATCGTCCCTGATGCTTCAATTCGGTGCGCCTTTCGTCCACTTCCATTATTGTCACAACACCGGCAAGAGGTGGGATTGCTTAGCCAATGGCACTTCACCACACCCATTCCTACTACCTCTGGCACAACGACTGGTCACCATTTCAAAATGCACATGATTACTGGCAATACATTAATCCGATTATCCATTTCAATGTTAAACCGCCATCTCCAGAAGACAATAGGCTCACAGGAAACGGAAGTTTCAAATTCTGTGTAAAAGTCACAAGGACAATTTATCATGCCCACATTGTATCAGCCTCCAGTTCTTGTCCACTCCAGACCCAGCCATTTCCTCCGTGTGAATGTTGAGCCCTTCTGATGACGCAATTTTTTTGATGAGGAAACTCAACACCTCCCCTGATAACAACTGAACTAGTTCGATGCAAACAACCACTGCTGAATGGCGAGTTAAATTGTCCCTAGTTAAGTTAAATTATCGTTTCTGGGTGTCATATAGGGAGACATTTTTAAAAATTTAGCTGTCACACAAAATGCTCTTTACACCTCTTTGCATTTTCACACCACACCCACTATCAATCATTCTTCCTTTATGTGCCTGTCGGATTTAGCCTCATCCCATTGTGTGGATCACAAAAACCACTTTAGAACCACTTCTCCTATTTGTTCACTTAAACGACCTCGCCAAATGGCGTATAGAATGGTGAGCTGGACCCGAGAGAGTAAACACGATGGTGAATCGCTGTCCTTCCATTTTCGGTGGTGATGGTGCATTGCGGAGGCGTATCAGTGATGTCCAGTGCCACTATTTAGGCTTGCTTATCCACGTCAAGTAGAGGTCTGTGGACTTGAGAAATTTCATCAAAGCCTTACAGATGTCTACAGAAGGCTGGCATTTTCCTTCGCCTGCGTTGTGACTGTGCATAAACTCTCTCCTTTGAACCTTTGGTGAATTTACAACACTTTCCCAACCTTTATTCGGTGGCTTTCCCACAGTTGAGGATGTGCCATTAAAACCTTACATCACACAGTGAATCTTAGGCTCGTGACACAGGAATTTGAAATTGTAGAGCGCCAAGGGATCCCAAACATTAATGAAGGGTTATCAAGGACCAAAACTTGCACACCTCTGTGCCTTGATTGAGGCAGAAAGGAATCACTTTTAGCCTTAGCTTTTGCTCATCTCGCTACAACAATCCGAAA